CCCCAGCACCGTCCACCCAGATGGCAGGCACACCTTGTTGACCTGAGTGACCACAGCATCCACAACCTCGCCTTTAAAGGGCCTGAAGACAATGGCCTTGTATTTAACCGGGTAAAGGACAAAGCCCCGGCCTGGCTGGATTACACCTGCGCCAATGTTGTCGATGGTGGTGACAGCAATGACAAAGCCGTACCTGCAGGGGAGGAAAAGACACTGCACTGTTTGTGTTGGGGTGTTGTGAAACAGGATCTCACTATGTAGTCCAGGCTGGCCTTGAACTTGCTATGTAGCTCATGACTGTATTCCCACCACTGGGGGAGGCTGAGGTGGGATGGTGAGTTTGAAGCCAAGTCTGGGCTATTCAGCCATACCCTATTAAATAAAAAAAAAGACAGAACCTTCCCCAGCTGTCCTGGCACTTGAAGCCCTAAACTCCCCACTCCCACCGGACAAAGTTATAACTCCTTCCTATCCCGAATGGGACAACCCCGTACAGAGCTCAGAGCTGTCAGCCCCAGCTTTCCTCCTCTTCCTCTAAACTCGCAATCTGCTTTTTCTAGTCCGGGAACACTGAGGCCCAGAGCATGAGGGTCAGAGGAACCCGACAGGTAACAGAGGGACAGCACACCGCCAGCTCTAGAGCTGGCTCGCTCCCGCCCTAGGGGGCCTCGGGATGTTTGCAGAGTGAATAAGAGCGGTGCTGGGGCTGTAGGTGGTGCTCACTTCCCCGTGCAGGTCCCCTCCACCTCGGTAAACAGCTTCTGCTTCACCGTGTTGAGCAGGTTGGGGCCGAAGTAGCGCGGGTGCAGTAGGATTTCATGCTCCAGGGAAATCTGTGGGCAGAGACGCATGGAGCCTCCCCGGGCCTCCCCCGGCCTCCCCCGGCCTCCCCCGGCCTCCCGCCGCCAGCTCACGTGGTAGAACATCTTCCACCTGAGATCCGGCTCTACAGTTTGTACCTGCGGCCGCTAAATCCCCCCGGAAGTCCCTGCTCGCCCCTACCGGCTTCCGGCCCCTCTGCGAATTTCATTGGTCTCCTCCGTGGGCGTGCCCTGGAAAATCCCGCCCCTCCACCCTGTGTATTCTCCATTGGTCTGTCGCGCTGCAGTTCGGCCCGGTTTTTCCCTCCCTGTGGCGCTAGAGCAATAGATCTAGGGATGTGTATCCTGGACCACCAGAGCACATCCAACACGAAGTACATTACTTGCAAGCAGGATTCATTATCGAGGAAAAACAACAAAACGCAGCAAATAGTCACAGACTGCTTCCCGCGTTAAGCACTGCATTACGCGTTGCCTGGGCACAGCTCTGCCCACATGTGTGTGTATGTGTGTGTGTTACTTGGGATTGAACCTTGAACCCAGCGCCTTCTCACTGAGCTACATCGTCTGCCCTTTTTATTTTGATTGATTTTTTTTTTTTTGTACCGGGGATTGAACTTAGCAACTTGCGCTTGCAAGGCAGGCAGCGGCCCCACTAAGCCAAATCCCCGGCACCTCCCCCACTTTAATTTTGAGACAGTCTCATTAACTCGCTAAATTATACAGGTTAGATTCACATTAAAAACCCTCCTGCCTCAGCTGCCTTGAGCGCTCGGCTTACCAGCAGGCTCCACAAAGCCCCTCCCCGCCCACACTTTTTCTGGCAGCCCTTTTATCAAACCCCCCTCCATTGGCTCAAAGAGTTGAGTGAAATCCTCTCGCTGAGCCCCTGACTCATAAAACGGCCCTGAAGAAACAGAAGTGTCCTGAGACACAGACCTCGACAACGGCCCCAGCGCAGCTGTCTCTAGAACTGGACCAGTCAGGTGGCCTTGGGCAGGCATCAAGTACTGTGCACCTCTGTAGGGAAGCCCAACTTGCCCTCCTATGAGAGCTGAGCGCTCACGTTTCTTAGCACTGTCCTACCTTCATGGAGACTGGGCCCCAGGGAAAAGGGTGCTGTCTCTCTAACAGCTCTTCCTTCGAAGCCCTACTCATACTCCATGGTGATGTATTCTGCTTGAAACCTGGCAAAGAACTCCTGCCCTCGGCTGTCAGATATTTTACATTGATCCTGTCAGTCCATGATATAGGATGTCTATTTTTTGGTGTGTCTTCAATCTACTGCCTCAGTGTTTGGCAATTTTTTGGTAGAGGTTGTTCCCTTCTCCCCTACTCTAAACTGAGCTGCTCCAAACTTGTGTTCTTCACTGCTGTACATGCTACTGCCAAGATGAAGTCCTGGACAAAAGGACAACAGAGCAGCACAGAGTGTCGTATCTCCTCCTCAGTGTGTAGAGTTTTATGCCAGCAGTTCTGTTACAAACCTGAGATCAGGTTGTCTATTTTTCAGTTGTGCGGACTGAAGCCAGGGCCTCGTGTATGCTAGCAAGTGCTCTAGCACTGAGCTACTGTTCGTTGGCAGGCCTTTTTCAAGACAGTCTCACTAAGCTGCCCAGGCTACTTTCAAACTTCCTTATCTCAGCCTACCAAACAGATGGGATTACAGATGAGTGCCACCATGCCTACATATTTCTTGGTTCGAGTACATACACTTTTTTATTCTTCATAAAAACTGAAAACGTGGCCGGGTGTGGTGGCTCGTGCCTGTAATCCCAGCACTCTGGAGGCTGAGGCAGGAGGATCGTTGTGAGTTCAAGACCAGCCTGGGCTACATAGTGAGTTCCAGGTCAGTCTCAACTATACAGTGAGACCCTGTCTCACAAAAAAAACAAAAAAACAAAACAAAACAAAAAAATCCTGAAAATGTTGGGGCTGTAGAATTGTAGCTCAGTGATACAATGTGTGTTTAACAAGAGCAAGGCGCGTTGGATTCACTCAACACACACGTGCGCGCGCACACATATACACACACAGAAAATAAAGATTATTTGTGTAGGCATGAAGGTGTATCATTATTTGGTAATGGATTAATAACTATCTTTAGTAGTGTGACATTGGGAGTTGAACCCAGGGCCTCTGCTTTGAGTTACATCCCCCAGCCCTTTAAATTAATTAATTAATTAATTAATTTTGGATTTTTGAGACAGGATCTCACTATGTAGCCTAGGCTGGTCTCGAACTCACAGTACAGTGATCCTCAGCCTCCCGAGTGCTGGGATTACAGGCATACAACACCATGCTCGGCTTTTTTTCTTTTTTAATTTTTGAGCCTGGGTTAGGGTCAACAAATTGCAGAGGCTGACCTAGAACTTGTGATTTTCCTGTCTCAGCCTCCCACAGTGGGTTATAGGAGTGGACCATCAAGCCCGGCTCGAAGGTGCTTTCTTTTGACCCGAGCAGTGGTATGGTTCAGTGTGGTATGAGCTCCAGGTCAGGCAGAGGCCCGCAGGTACCTAGCACAGGGGGATGAGCGGATGCAGCTCCTGGGTAGCGTCCGGTCACAGCGTGAAGACACGGACACTCCACGGAACACACGTGTCTACCACTCTGTCCGCTTCAGACTGCCTCCCGACTGACAGGCTGACATCGGACTGGCCTACGTCGTCTCAACGCGTCGCCAAATGCAGCCAGGCTTTTCATCTGCACTGCCAGCCCTGACCTCGCGCCTGTCCCACAGCACGTGCCAGGGCCGCAGACACTCAGGCGTCTGTTCACCTGACTGCTCCGGAACCACTGGACGCGAGCAGCGGGCAGCGTGGCCCGTGGATTTATTGAGGGACCTCCAGCAGGCGACAAAGGTGCAGAGGTGCGGCCGGGCTGGTCTAGGACCTGGGCCTCTGGGGTCCACGCTAGTTACCAGTCGTCCTTCCCAGAGCACAGCGGCTGTGCGACCTCAGGCAGAGGGAGAAATTTAGCCAACCCCGGAGCTCCAAGGCCCGCGAAGGCGGGAGTAGGAGGGGAAGTGCGCGGCAGGAGTGCCAACCAATTCAGCCCCTGGGCTGTCTGAGCGACAGCGACGAGCACCCACTCGGAGAGGCAATCCTGGAGAGACGGGATAGCGGGAAGCCGGCCAATCCGTGACAGGGAAGGCGAGCTCGCGCCAATCGGAGCCGAGAGGGCGGGAGGGGGCGGAGCCCGCCCGAGGGCTACTCGGTGGTGGGTGAGGGACGAGCTTTCGCTCTAGTTGCCACCACAGGAGTCCTGGGTCCTTGGAGGGAGAGAGGCAACGGCCCAAGAAGTGCCAGGAGCAAGACGTGGAGGCATCACCCTAGAGGGCCTAAACGCGAAAGAGAATCCTACTTGGAGGAGTTGCTGAAAGATACCAGGCGGCCATCGAGGAAGCCGAGGCTGGTTAGGGGCGGGACTTCCGGGGCGGGGCTTTTTAAAGGGGCGGGGGGCCTGCCGTGAAGGTTCTGCGAGGGGCGGGGCTAACGAATTGGGTGTGACGGGAGGGGTGCCGCAGGATAGCTGTTTAAAGCCTTCGTCCGGGGCTAGGGTGTTGGCAGCCGCCTTGGGCGGGGGAGCCACAGTTAGGGGCTGACGTTAAGGTTGCTGAGGAGGTCACCTGCTTCCCCCCCACACCGCCCTCTCTCCCCAGGGAGCCACTGGTGGCGACCTTTCCAGGGTGCGTTTTCTTCGTGGGATGCTATGGAGTTTCCAGAACACAGTCAACAACTGCTGCAGAGCCTCCGGGAGCAGCGGTCCCAGGGCTTCCTCTGTGACTGCACGGTGATGGTGGGTAGCACCCAGTTCTTGGCTCACCGGGCCGTGCTGGCCTCCTGTAGCCCTTTCTTCCAGCTTTTTTACAAGGAGCGGGAACTGGACAAGAGGGATCTGGTGTGTATTCACAACGAGATTGTCACTGCCCCGGCCTTTGGGCTGCTGCTGGACTTTATGTATGCCGGTCAGCTGGCCCTGCAGGGAGACACTCCCCTGGAGGATGTCCTGGCGGCTGCCAGCTACCTGCACATGAATGACATAGTCAAAGTGTGTAAGCAGAGGCTGCAGGCCCGGGCCCTGGCAGAGGCTGACAGCACCAAGAAGGAGGAGGAAGCAAGTGCACAGCCCCCTGGCTTGGAGTTCCTGTCCAGCACTTCCCATGGTCCTCAGCCTTCACTGGCATCTACTGAAACATCAGGCCAGTGGGGCAAAGAGGAATGGAAGAGTCCAGCCACTCCCTTACCTGCTGTTCGTTCTCTAGAGGAGCTACCTGTGGCTGGTGGCGCCGACACCACACAGCCTGGCATGGAGGTGGATTCATCGCACCTGCGGGCAGTGCCCCCACCAGGAGCAGATGGCTCTGTGTCTCTAGCCAGTCCTAGTAGCTCCACAGAGGCCCTCCCTGCAAACTACTTTCCTTCTGGCCTCCCCACAGTTTCAGTGGAGCCCCTGACTCCCCTTGGCGTGGGTGCTGAGAGCCTGCAGGTGGTGGAGGCTCCAGACCCTGGAGGGCCACTGCAAAGCTTCTACCCTGCAGCACCAGCCCCAGCTCCAGGTGAAGCCGAGTTGGTCCAGGTGAAAGTGGAAGCTATTGTGATCTCTGATGAGGAGACAGAGGTGACTGAGGAACAGCCTCAGGGTCCTGAGAGTCTGTTTTCACCTGCAGGAGCGGTGTTCGGACAGCCCGCCCAGCACCCCCACCCAGCCCAGCCAGCCCAGCCCCAGGCTTTTGAGGAGTCTGGGGGCATGGGCCTGGAGGAGGTGGGACCAAGTGACCACTTCCTGGCCCCTGATACTCACCTGCCCTACCACATACTGCCAGGTCCTGGGCAGTACCCTCGAGGACTGGTGACCTCACCCTTGCCCACACCCCCAGCCTTGCATGAGTCACTGTATCCATCCTCTGATTTTGAAGGAGCCCCAGGAGGTTTTGGGGTCTTTACTGAGGACGTTCCTACCTGCAAGACCTGTGGGAAGACCTTCTCATGCTCCTACACACTCCGGCGACACGCCACTGTGCACACTCGAGAGCGGCCCTATGAGTGCCGTTACTGCCTGCGCAGCTACACCCAGTCAGGGGACCTCTACCGCCACATCCGCAAGGCGCACAACGAGGACCTGGCCAAGCGCAGCAGAACTGATCCAGAGGCTGGCTCTGTTCTGGTGGTGCACCCCGCTCCTGCCTCCCCAACAGCAGACAGACAGAACAGCAGTGGAGGAGGGCCTCCCAAAGAATTTGTGCTTGGCCCTAAAAACTGATTTCTGAGTGCAGGAACTGTTGCCAGGCTTGCTCTTTGCCTTCTTCGCCTTAGATGGCAGCACTGAGGTGGGAGGTATCTCATTGCTCCATTTTTTGGGGGGACAGGGTCTTGCTATGCAGTTCAGGATGGCCTTGAACTGGCTTTGTATCCCAGGCTATCCTCAAATTCCTAGCAATCCTCCTGCCTCAGCCTCCTGAATGCTAGGATTACAGGTGTGCATCACAATGCCCCCCCCCTTTTGAGGCAGAATCTCACTCTGTAGTCAAGGCTGGCCTTGAAATCACAGCAATTCTGCTTCAACTCCCTTGGTGCCCAGCTCATCTCATCACTCCTGCTGTGACAGAATGAAATTTCTGCGGGGCAGAAAGCTCCTCCTGTCCTTCTCCGTCCTCCAATCCAGATAAGCAGGACTTAGGCAGAGCAGGTCTGCCTGGGAGCTCTGGAAGCCTTCGGAGGTGTAGCCACTGCTCCACATGGTGGAACATAAAAGCTCCTGTGAAATGACCTCTGTGAGCTGGTGTCAGCTGCTTTCTTTCAGGAACCTGCGTGTTGTCATCATCTCCCCAATTCTTTTATCCGACAGCTGTCTTGGGTAGGAGGGTGGGTCTGATCGCTTATGAGGAAAAAAATGAGACAGGCTGAAGTTGTTGTAGGTCTTATTAGGAAAGGTGTACAAATCAGGGCATCTTGGGCTGGGGATTTAGCTCAGTGGTTCCACTGCCTGCCACACAAGTGCAAGGACCCGAGTTCGATCCCCAGTACTCAAAACAAATTAGGGCATTTTACATAATTATGGCTTGTAATTGCATTCTGGGCTATATTGTGATTTTCATATAAATCATCATCTAATCCTCCATGTTATGAGGTACTTATCCCTGCCCCACTTTTTTTAAGACAGGGTCTTGCTGTGTAGTCCAGACTGGCCTTAAATGCTCTATGTAGCCCAGGCTGGCTTCGGACTCTTGACTGCCTGCCTCATCTGAGTGCTGGGATTACAGATGTGCACCACCACACCCAACTCCCCCTTTGTATTTTAGGTGAGAAAACTTGAGGCTCAAAAAAATACAAGTTAATTTATGTTCAGTCACCAGCTGTTTAAGGTCGTCAGGATGCAGACCTGGCTGTGCCACCAGGTGCCATTCATGGCATGTTTTTTTCTGTCCTTCGGAGCACTTGGCTTTGTTGCTGTCATTTCTGCTTTCCACATGAAAGACTCATGGTTGGCCGTGTTGGCACTGAGCACTGTGTTGATCCCCGGGCATCGGCCAAAGTGTGCACTGGACTTTGGCAGAGAGTAAAGTGACTGGCAGGAACTTGGGGCACTGTGCGGTGTGGAAGTGGCAGTGCTTGGGAGAAGCTACAGCCAGTGGCCCTGTGAGCAGCCCTTATGCTTATCTAGTCCCACTCCTGCCCTCCAAGTATGATGACCACAGCCTGGAGGGTCGCTGAGGTCAGGGGGGCATCTGCTGACCGTATACAGGGTTGCTGTGGGGTAGAGGGAAGTGATGGAGCTGCAGGGCACCCCAGAAACCCCTCTTTACACATGGGCCTGGCTGTGCGTAAGGAACACAGGGAGAGGTGGAAGTCTGGAGTCTTTTCCCTCTTTGGATCTGTGTGTCTACTTTCAGCACTCTAGTGCTTCCCAGGAAGGAGACAGAAATGAGCAGAAAGATGCAGCTGGGAAAGCTCCTTTGCCAGGACATCACAGGGAGCAGAAGCCGATGATGCCTAATATTTTTCACTGCAGAAAGCAGGAAAGCTAAAGCCAGGTCATGGTGGCACACCCTGTAGTTCCTGCTACTTGGGACGCTGAAGCAGGATTGATTAAGCCTATGAGTTTGAGGCCAGCCTGGGCAACAGCCAGACCCTGTTTCTAAAAAGTTAAAAAATATGTATTAAACTACTTGATCTTAGCCAAAAGGCCGAGAAGCGATTAAAAATGTATTTTTCCTTTGCTGTCTGAAGTCAGACTCAAGGACTTGTGTGTGATACGCAAGGACTCTATCGAGCTACAGTCCCACCGTTAACAGAACAGTGATAGACTACAGTACAGTAAGTCTCCAACTTACATACAATCAAGTTGCAAGCTTTCAGATATGAACGGACCTTGCCTTTCACAGATGCAAACAAATCACAGTGGCTCTGCCTCTGCCGGACAGTGTCACGCTGTGCTGTGTGCTCACCATCCTGTGTGGTAGTGGACAGCAGCACAGGGCTCAATCAGAGCCCAGGACGGCCGGAAGCAGAAGCAGAGTTGGTGTGCAGGGGACTGCTAGGCGCACACAGAGGTGCACGCTGAGTACTTGTCTGAGAGGTGTGTAAGACTCAGTGTGCCATACTTAAGGATGATCTGATTTATGAACGTTCTCCTGGAACAGAAATGGAACTCATTTGTACACTGGGGACTTACTGTATAGGTAGTGAGGGCTTAGGCGGGATCTGTGAGAAACTGCTTCTAAGAGTCCTTCACCTTCCAAACAGGAGACTTCACACCCACCAGAAATGCACTCTCATATTTAAAGCCACCAGCTCTTGTTGGGAACTGCGAAGGCTTGGTACAGGTACAGCCTCAGCTCCACAGCCTCGGGAACAGGAGACTCTGGCTCAGCAGCTCCCCTGGACACTGCTGCTCAGGTTGCAGGCCTTGGTTCTGCTTCTCACTAGCATCTCTCAGGGGAGTTGGGCTTGAAATAATGAAATGGAGGCCTATGTCTTAGCACTAAGAAAGGATAATGAAATACATTTCTAAGTACCCTTTTATTTTTTTCCTCCTTGATGCAGAAGACAGTTTAGTGTAATGTCAGATTTTTGAGATTAAAAAAATCAGAAAGCAAAACCAGCCCCAGATAAAACATGCAGCCACTTTTTTGTTTTGTTTTTTACAGCAGGGTCTTACTATGTGGTTCAGACTGGCCTTGAACTCACTATATAGCCTAGGCTGGTCTGGAACTCAGTAATCCTGCCTCAGCCTTGGGATTATAGGCATGTGCCACCATGCCCAGCCATGACAATTTTAATTCATCTTTTTAAAGCATGGTAAGGTATGGAACCACTGCAACCAGGTCTTCTGGTGGGGCCCAGATTGGACCCAGTACCAGGCTAACAAGGACAAGCTGGGATTTACCGCCCAGGCATAGGGGTAGGTCAGTGGATGGAGAATTACTAGAAGAAACATCAAAGTAAGTGGTTTCGATCTAAACTGACTTGGTAAGATTTGCACTGACACACTTTTGTTAATCCTAAACTAAGCAATTCAAGATGGTTGGAAAAGGAGCCACTCTATTTTTGTTAATTCTGTCCTTGGACATCATGAAATTATTTGGTAGAAAACTTTCTTTAGTTGCTGATTGTATCTAAAGACATAGGGAGGAATAAAGAGGAATCTACCCAATTGGGAAAGAGGGTGGTGTTTTTTTGAGACAGGGTCTTGATATGTAGTTCAGGTGGTTTTGAACTCATTATGTAGCCATCTGGCCTGGAATATGCAGTGATCTTCCTGCCTCAGCTTCCCCAGTACAGGCACGCACCATATCCAGCAAGGGTTTGAATATTGATAAAGGACTAAGACAGTGGTGGGGAACCTATGGTGCATATGCCACAGCAAGCTATTACTGCTAAAAACTCTAACAAAGGTTCACCATCACTACAGTATTGTCTTCCCCTCTGAAATCTACTTGCTTTATGGTTGATGGCACATACTTACTTCTACCACTTAGATGTAGACAGTACTACAGGCTTTCCACTGCTGGCCTAGTACCCACGACATCAGATTGTCCATGAGGAGTAAACAGAAACCACAGAGCAATTCTGGTTGATGGAGCCTCCTGCTCAACCAGACTAAACCTGGACTCACCCTCCCCAGGGTTGAAGGCATTAAGAAGCATCAGCCTTTCCTCCTTATTTTACTCCTTCGGGAGGATCAGAGCTCTTCCAAAACACTGGGTGGCAGGCAGAGATCTGGATTTTTTTTCCCAGGACTGGGGAATGCACCCAGCACCTCTGGCAGTCCTGGTAAGTGCTCTACCACTGAGCTACATCTTTCCCCAACCCAGGGTTTTGTTTTCCATCCTGCTCTGCCATGGTACTATTTCTAGAAGATTTGGTAATCTGTCTCTCTTAAGTTCATTACAGAAATGGGCTACCATATATACATATGTATGCAATTATTAAAAATTAAAACATTTACTTGGGCATATTTTTGACACAAGGCTGAAGGGTTACTCGATAAATACTTCACTGCTTGACTCCCATAGGTTTTACAAGAATAGATTAATAATTTTAAAAAGTGTTCTTTATCAATGACCTAAATATGAATAATAGCAAGGACTAGAAATTACAAGGAAAAAAATAGAAATCAGATACTTTTATAGGGAAAAAATCTGAATGTGTGAAATATTATGGAAAACAAGGAATTAAACACAAATGACTCATTTTAAATTTTTCATTTAAATATGGTGTATTTCCGGATGTTGCCTGGGTGTCTGGGAAGAGGAAGGAAGACACTTGTCCTCACCTGCCCTCTCCTGTGTGCACGCAAACCCAACAAGAGCTAGCCGTCCCTCAGGCCCAGGCTGGAAACCCCACAGACTCTACCCTTGGTTGGTGAATGTTTTCTGGTGCAGCTCTCCAGGCAAATGTCCCCACAATGACAGGTACTAGAAGCTGGACAGATACAGACATGGACGGTGCCAGTGCGAGTGGCAGAGTCTGTGCTGAATGCAGGGGCCTCTTCACTCTTGCTCGAGGCTTAGCTGCCCCTTGTGGCCTCAAGTCCACCTGTGCTTCAGGTGAGAGCTTCCTCCTGTTAGCCAAACATGCCCAGGTACAGCTCCTTCTGCTTCCTGTGGTAGCTGCTGAGCTCAGACTGCGTCAGCTGCAAGTATCTCTGGACATTGGCATCTTGGCAGATGGAGAGGATGGTTAGCGACAGATCATGAGTGCATATTGGACAGCAGAGGGTTGTTCACACACATTCATTCATCTCCAAACTCAGAACACATCAGAACAATTGCTCTACGCAATAGTAGTTTCCATTAAATACCACATTGGGTTTGGGAAAAAAGGATCTCTGTAGGGGGCTACAGTGGTCACCTGATTTTTTTTTCCCTAGCACTGGATGGAAATAGAACCCAGGCCCTCCCTTCTTTTATTCTGAGACAGGGTCTCTTTAAATCACTAAATTGCCCAGGATGGACTGGAACATGTTATCTTACTGCCTGAGCCTCCCAGAATGCTGGGATTACAGGTGTGCACCACCATGCCCAGCTTGGTTGCTAATTTTATAATGAAAGGAGTGTGAGCCAGGCGTGGTAGCTCACACCTGTAATTCCAGCACTCGGGAGGCTGAGGCAGGAGGATCACTGTGAGTTTGAGACCAGCCTGGGCTACATAGTGAGTTCCAGGTCAGTCTCAACTACATAGTGAGACTCTGTCTCAAAAAACCAAAAAAAAAAAAGGAGTGTAATGAAACACTTCATGTACATTTATGAGTTATCATAGCTTTACCTGGTCATGTGTGTTCCCAGTGTACCAGGGACTGAACAGCAAGCACTCTACTGCTAAGCTACACCCCCAGCCAAAGCAGGGAAACTAAGGCACTAAAGGAAACTTAGGCACCCTCTGGTTGCACCTCTGAAGCTGCTCTGGACAAATGCAAAAGGGACAACATCGTTGGTACTGAACCAGCCAACGTGGGGACAGCCTGTGTCCAGCCAGAGTGCCATCATCCCCTTCCCAGAGGTCGGTTTGTCCCTCTCCTAGGGCCCAGTGCAGTGAGCCAAGGCCACATGCTGACTCCCTAGGAGAAGGGATTGGTACTATCAGGTGTCCTCCTAGCCACCTCCTCCTTCCCATCCACTCTTCAAGGCTGAGGACTAAACACTTGAAAATGTGGCTTCTAAAGCCCTGGCATGCACTACAGTAACTACAGAAAACTGATCAATTAATGTAAAAAAACTTGCTGAGCATGGTGGCACACACCTGTCACCCCAGTCCTCAGAGGCTGAGGCAGGAGGATTACCAAGAGTTTGAGGCCAGCCTGAGCTATAAGTCAGTTCAAGTGTAGCCTGAACTACATAGAGGCCCTGTCCTAAAAAATAAAAATCTAAAAAACACCTGGAAGTGTACCTTAGGGGGAGAGCATATGCTTAATATGTAAAGGGCCCTGGGTTCAATCCCAAGCACACACATAGAACCCAAATCGCCACCAGGGTAGGGGGTCATATGCACACATAAAAGCAGGCTTACATATATAAAGTACAGAAGAGGCATAGAACCTGGCACACCCATAATCCCAGCACTCTGGGAAGCTGAGGCAGCATTTCAATTTTTTTGTTTTTGTTTTTGTACTGGGAATTGAACTCAGGACCTTGCACTTACGAGGCAGGTGGTAGAAGGAGGGAGGATTGCAAATTTGAGCCAGGCCTGGGCAATTTAGTGAGACTATCTTAAAAAAAAAAAAAGGGCTGGGATGTAGCTCAGCATGAACAATGGGTCCAATCCCCAGCACAACACACACACACACACACACACACACACACACACACACAGAGGTGCAGAGGTGTATCTCTACAGCCCAGACACAGACAATAGGCACCTATACACACATGCACTGTTAAGCATAAACATCTAAGCACACAAACAAGACTAATACTACTACTTTCATGTGGAAACAAAAACAAGGGGTGGAAGAATATTTTCACTGCATTCTTTTTTCCCCAGTACTGGGGATTGAACTCAGGACTTTGTGCTTGTGAGGCAGGCGGTAACACCACTGAGCCAAATCCCCAGCGATTTTTTTTTTTGGTTGGGTTTGTTTGTTTGCTTTTTTGAGACAGGGTCTCACTATGTAGTTGAGACTGACCTGGAACTCACTATGTAACCCAGGAACTCATAGTGATCCTCCTGCCTCAGCCTCCTGAGTGCTGGGATTACAGGCGTGAGCCACCACACCCAGCCTGTAATTTTTTTTTTTTTGAGACAGGCTATGTAGTTCATTCAGGTTGGCCTTGAATTTACATCCTCCTGCCTCAGCCTCCCAAGTGCTGGGATTACAGGCACGCACCACCTTGCCCAGCTAGAATTTTTTTTGGATACACAGTCTCACTACGTAGTTCCACCTGCCTTGAACTCAGTGTGTCACCCAGGATGGCGTCGAACTTGCAGCAATCCTGCCTCTGCCTCCCAAGTGTGGGGATTATGGGTATGGACCACCATGCGTGGCTACATTTTTTTTGAGACAGAGCCTTGCTGTGTAGCCCAGGTGGGCCTTGTACTCAGTGACTCTTGTGCCTCAGTCTCCCCATTGCTGAGATTACAGGCCTGAACCACCACACCCCGATACCTTTAGAATTTTGAACCACAAATATATTACATATTTAAAAGAAAAAAATCAATAAATTTTGGGTTCAGAGCCAGGGTGGGGTGGTTACTTCAAGTCAGCCTGAACTACACAGCAATACCCCATCTCAAACAAACAAAAATCAAAAGAAAATAAAAACCCCTTTCCACAGGTACCATCTAGCCCAGGGGTGGCAAATCTGTGTTATACAGGCTGCAGTTGGCCATTATCTTTGGAGGATCTAAGGGGCTCGCCAATCACTGACCTAAGGGGCCATCTCTTTGCCACTTGGCAGCTGTGGAGATTACAGGGCAGGAGTGGTGGGCATGCAGGTGGTCAGTGCACCCGGCTCGGCAACGCGGCACTTCTTGGTGTCCCACCAGCTCACCTTTGGGCTGTCTGTGCACAGCCGCCAGGAGGTAGCGCTGAGCCTGCTCGTAGTCCTGCAGGTGGAAAAAGGCCACTCCAGCCCGGTACAAGGCCTTGGCATTGTCGGGCTGCCCACGCAGGACCTTCTGACTGTACTCCCGCACCCTCTCGTAGTTCACAGGCTCCATCTGCAGGAGGCAGGCTGGGACGGGTGAGAGGGGACAGCAGGAGGCTCAGTCCCTGGGTTCCCCCGGGCTGCCTGAATCATACCTCTGGGGCACGGAGGTGCAGCGCCTGGTGGGTGAACACTCGGCAAGAATGCCCCTCCCACCTGCCTTCCGTACACCTTCAGGGCCAAGACAGGCCTAGTGATTTTCACCTTATCTTTGTGTGTATATGTAAAGGGTACTGGGGATGAAACCCAGAACCTTTCTCTTTTTTTTTTTTTTTTTTTTTTTTTT